AGGGTCAACTCATGTTGAAAATAAAATGACAGCTTCAGCGGTGAAGGTAGTAATTCAGACTTAAGAAAACATTTCATTTTTGAGGAGGATTGAAATGTTGTGCCATTAGTATGCGTGATCGTATGAATGCGAATAATGAAGGATTTAAAATAAAAATTATATTTCTCAAGGCTTCAAAAGTGCTCTTAAAAGTGCAATTTTAAAGAATTTTCAAATATTACAATTTGTGTAAAATACATACTTGCTACAGCGAGCTTTCATACGAATAGTTATTAACCGTAAGACTGCTGAATGTCACAAACGCCTCTGTATTAATTATTGCTGCAGTGCAAGGAACAGTTAACGTTTTCGCTTTTGTTAGACAACTGAAACTGCCGAAACATCTCTGTTCAAATAATAAAGACTTTATTTTGAAATAAATCCACCTTTCTGTTGACCAACGTTGTGTTTTGAAAAGCTTTCTATGTACCCGCACATTGGACTAGTAAATTCGACACTCCAAAGTCTTCACGACTGTTCACAAGTTTGCTCACAAAAAATATGTGGGTAACACACTATTCATTTCCTCATATTTCGAATAACGAATGACTGTCATCACGTATTAAGCTCTGACACGGGAACAAAGAGTCAACTAGACATCTAGAGTTTCCTTTCACTAAGTTACACTTTCTGTCACTGAAGCATTGATTTCCCTTTAGTTTATTGCGAATTTTATGGTTTTTTTACAATTTAGCACAAACAAAAGTCTGGCTTGAGATGAAATTAGTCTTTTTGGGTGATATGTCGAGCTCTCTTTGAGACGAGAATTTTGTACATTTCCCCCGTTGGTTTCACTTTTACATAAACAATGATGAACTGTTTCACAAGGCTTTGCTTCAGTTTACAATTTGTCATGGTCTTGTACCAAGCAGTGATCAATCATTTCTCCACAAAAGAACAACACAAAATTAAACATGACGGACAAGCGAAATGAGAGTACGATCACGAAAGGAATTAACTTTGAAACAAATTCTACCAACAAGTACAACAAGAATCGTATGGGGACAGGTAAGGAGAGTCTGTAAGTTTATTGCAGGGCGGAACTTAATAAAGGACTAACCATTAGTGCTCTTACCTGCTGCTCTTCTACTAATGCAGCAAATCACACTTAATTTTGTGTGCTGTGGATCAGAGAAATCACCAAACATAAATTGTGCGACAAAATCGACTTGCTATTAAATAGCGCTTTAGCGACAACTGCAAGTCCACGTTCAATATGTCGATATTCTATGCTCCGTGGCTTTCAGGACAAAATTGCACTTTGTGAAGTTCCCTTCGTCCCTCAATTCCCAGAAGAGACTTGGATACAAAGAAAACACCGCCAAATATAAAAGTTTGTCCTGAAGGCTTGGAGCCATGTTGGGATATTGATATATCCAGTATAACTTGTACATACTTACAATCGGGCCATGTTTTAAAACTGTCAGGACATTCTACAGTTTCTCTCGTTTCGTTTGGTAATGTTCTTAACGCAAATTGTAAATCAACTGAAACTGAAAGTAGAATTGTGCGAGTAAAGCGAATTCCGAACTGGCTGAACCTTGAATGACTTGTAGTCGAGGGATGAACGAGAAACGAGAGCCCACTCATTGATCAGAAGATAAGGATTTCGTAACCTGTTGTCATGAAAGTAACAATTTGAAAGTATCATAATGAATATAATTTCTGTTTCTCACAGTCCCCAATAGGTGGATGGCTGAACTGTTAGTTTACGTGTAAACTTTTGCACGCGTCTTCCGAATTTCAGACGTGCTGCAATCTGTTGATACGGCAGAATTATAAACAAAGCAGACGATCCGGCATACTATGAGAAGGGACGGGGGGAGAGTAAATCCCATTTCCCAGCCTAAAATTTGCGCAAATCTCATTTCCATTCCGATTTTTAACATGGAAAATAATATAGGTATAGATGGGAGATTCACTCGATTCTTCCTTCACTCCTTCCTTCGCTTCCAGTTAGACCTTTTGTGAATACGCTCTATAAGGCTTTCGCATTCGTAGCTAACATGAGGTCAAGTTATATTCGACCTGAAGGTGAAACGACTTCCTCGTATAAATTCTTTTGGCAATGTTTCCCCTTTGTTCTTTGCATTTATGACGCAAGTACTCAATCTGTCAACGCAGAAATACTCTGCATTGAGAAGATTTTTGCACGAACACCTCTCCGTATAGAACTAGTTATACCTTCCGGCAAGTGCCAACCAGGCGAAATGCTATCTTGTTTTGCGTTTTGAAGTTTCATAGTGATTAATAGATTTCTGTATTGAAGGAAGGAATTGCTTCTGTAAGTGTGTGTAAGATGGCTTGGTTTTACATGAGGGAGAAGGGCTGCACGAGTGTTTTTGCAAACAGAGTAGTTGAGGAAAAAGTATCCAAGTTTGAAATAATGAAGAGTTCAAGCAATGACGACTGCGACTCCAAGGACGACGGCTGAAAAAAATGGTCTAAAATTTTACCTTTGAATTTCGCAATTACCTATCATTCAGTAAGTCGATCGGTCTAAGACTCTACTCAAACTAGAAGTGTAACGCCGGCGATCAATTCCAGAAGAAAATTCGAAAAATTAGCCGTCGCGGCTCATGTTTTTTAAAATACGATATTCAACTGAATCACAGTCCTTCAACATGATAAATTAATGGTACGTCTTCGGCCCCGTCAGGAATTTGAAAATGCAGCTTATTTTATTTTTTCTTTTTCTTTTTTTTTTTTTTGGTGGGGGGATGTGCTATATATTGTCTTTGACGAAAAACGGAAATACTTTTCAAAAACACACTTAATTAAGACAAATTTTCAAGATTGTATTTAATGAGTAGCTCACTGATAAACTCCTCAATGGAGATTGCAGGCTACTTAACTTACTTGAATAAATATAATGGCGCATAAATAAGGCGGTGTAGTTGAATTTCCGTATTATTGTTGTGTCGTTAGAGCTTGTATTAATATAGACTACGAGTAGTCCCTCTTTCACTTAGTCCGTCGTGCGTGACGCGAAAGAAATTCGCGAGAAAAAAATGGCCGCGCAATATCCTGGGGGCTAGGAGCGCGCGAAAGGAGGGACTACCGCCTAAGCCCAAGGGTTTGCCCTTTCACGGCCGAGTGATTTTTTGGTGTAGGATTTCTC